GATGCACGGGGAATTTTATCCCGAAGCCTGAGTAGGGATAAGTCAACGCCTAACACGCGTTGCCGGGTAGTCTATTCCCGTGAGAAAGACGAAGTCTATGTATTCAAAATCATAGCATTAAGTCTAAGAGAAGCAATTCTCTTAGCACAACGTTACATGTGAAACGGGTTTTAATAATTCACATGCTAGCCCGATTCAAACGGTAATCGGTAAAGGCACGTCAAACCCGTTGATGGCTGGGGGTTTGCCAAAAATCCCAAAGTCTATGTCTAACTCGCATTGGCGGTTAGTCTTTGACCGTAAAAAGGACAAAAGACCACATATTCAACATTGTGGCAGGTTGTTATTAATAGAGTCTGGGGATTTTTATCCTGAATCCTAAGTAAGGATAAGTCAGCACCTAACACGCGTTGCCGGGTAGTTTATTCCCGTGAGAAAGACGAAGTCTACGTATTCAATGACGTAGCACTAAAAGAGTTAACTCTTTTAGCACAACGTTGTGTGCAGAACGGATCTAAACAATCTGCATGCTAGCCCGACTCAAATGGTAGTCGGTAAAGGCTCATCAAACCCGTTGATGGCTGAGAATTTGCCAAAAATTCTATAAGTGTGAGTCATTGATGCATCAACAACATTAAAATAAGATCCACAAATGCAGATGAATCAGCTTTAACAGTTGGTCCTGTAACCCCGACACTTGGGACCGCAGTGCTCCAATACCTTAAGAGCTTAAACTGTGTATACTCTAGTAAACGTACGAGTATAAACTGTGTCAACGTACGACGTTCGAAACCCTAGGGGTCAACGCCGGTCAACGCGTAACCCTAGGTCAACGACAGTCAACGCGTTGCGATCAAAAAGTCAACGCAAATCAATATATCATGACGGAGATAGTCAGTTCAAAGTCAACTCAATGACACGAGCCAAACTCAACTCACCGGTGGTAGACTCGAGACTCCAACGATGGCCAGGCGATAAACACAGCGCCGGAAGGACTTCGGCTATTTGTCAAAGCATTGAATAGACCGAAAATCGAAGGAGCAAAGAGTTGAAGCTAACTACAGGTCCTTTACACCAATCGAAGGCTGGACCAATCATATCCAAAGTATTCCAGCCTCTTCTATAAAAGAAACGAGTCTGGAACGCTTTGGAGGGGGTATCTGTAGGCATCGAAAATTGCCTATAGGTCTCCACGAACAGCTCAAAGCTAAGAGAAAACGATGAACGTCACCATCTGGTTCACAGAAGCTTGATTGACGTCGACGAACGCTTAAAGTGAATTGGCAAACTATGTAAAGCAACGGAGTTTCGGAATAACGAAGGTACGGGCTAATCGAGAGCCCCGCGATGTTTACAAAAAAATAACAATACCCTTCGTGTCTCATTCATTATACAGATGATCCAACCATTGGGGCTGATAGAACTCCTTGTCGGCTTTCCAACGCACTTCGAATCACTCAAATCCGAGTTCGGACGAAGAATTTACAGCGGAAGCGGACGAATGCACCACAACAGAGTGTCTCGGCCAAAGCCGAGACACCCTAGGGTGTCTCAGATTTTGGGAGACACCCTAGGGTGTCTCGGATTTTAGGAGACACCCTAGGGTGTCTCGGATTTTGGGAGACACCCTAGGGTGTCTCCAACGCGGATTTGGGCCCTTTAGGTGGTTTTAACCGCTCCGCAACCCCTCAAGCCTATAAATACAAGCCACAGGCCCTCATTTTTTCAGATCTGGAATTCGTGTGCCTCGGCGAAGCCCTGCCGGATTGAAGACTTAAAGTGCACAGATTTCAGAGAGGAGGAGGAGAGATCGGACTGAGTTCTTCAACGCAAGAGAGAGAGAGATTCGTCAGATCTACAGTTTCCCGGATCCGTTCCTTAGGATTATCCTGTTGTGGTAATCTTAAGAAGAGTGATTATCTCGCTTCGCCGAGATAAGAACTACGGTTTCTCGATCCCTTCGCGGATAGACGAAAGCTCTGCCCAATTTTTCAAGCAATCAGAATTGATCGACGGTTCCGGTCCACAGATAACCGGCACAGGCAAAGATTCCACGCAAAGCAGAAGATCGATTAAACGATCTCGCGTTTGTGTTGATAAAGTTATAAACTTTTTTATTTTTCATTGGTGGTTAGGAGATCTTATAAAAAGATCAACTTTTTTTATTTTATTCGAGGTTTATTGAACGACTAAAGTTGTTAATTAGATTCGATTAGCCAATTAAAAGACAGCAACTTTCCGGAAACAAGCTGGTCAAACTTTTTTTTTCTTTTCTTCTTCTAGCTCAATGGATTATGCTCTGGTGGCGTCTTCGACACGACGATCTACAGCGGGCAGCGGCGGTGATCTACGGGGCGACGATGACGGGATGGGGGAGGGGAGGGGAGGGGAGGCGGCGGCGAACTCAGAAGGGGAGCCTGTGGGGGCCTGAGCAGAGGCGGCAACTGCCGAGGGAGGTGCGAGGTGTCAGTGTTGACGAGCTTGAGAAGCTTTTAGTTTTAAGGATGAGAGGAGAGAGAGAGGAGAGACGAGAGAGGAGACGAGAGAATAGAGAGATGAGGAAGAGAGATGCACCGGGCTGGCGGGGACCCACCTCGCGGATCGAGCGAGAGTACCCGCGCAGTGACGAGAGAGAGAGAGAGAGAGGAGATGAGAGAGAAAGATGATATGATTGCTCGGTCTGAGAGATTGAGGAGAGAGGATAAAGATAATTTGGGGATTTTAGCTTAGCTGGCATGTAATAATTGATAAAAAAATGACTGCAGTACAAAGTGTCACACATCAAGGGGCTGATTCGCATGGGGAAAACTATAAGGGGCCTCGTCACATGAAGTTTCTGCTTTTGGGGCTTGTACACATTTTTCCCTTTATTTATTTATATATTTGTATTTAAGAAAAAGAATTTAAAACTATTAGATATATTGATCTCTGGGTGGTATTATCTCTGATAATAATAATAAGAAGAAAACCGGTATTTTTCTTCATGTTAGTTTGATTTTTTACAAGCGTTCAATTAAGGAATGAATGACGTGTTTCTATCTTAGCCAATAATATTAGATGAAATCCAATAAATTATATATGATGCCCTGTCTCATATTTTGGTTCGTGAATTCTAAATAAAAATAATAATGCTTTTATGTTAAACATTTACGAGTCCTCGTATTTCTTTAAAGGGTTATTTGCCTATATAGACGCACACACCTCTAATCGAATCATCAAATTAAAAACAAATACTATCAAATCAATCAATTATACCTGATTTGTGTCTGCAATGTAAAATCAATAAGATAGTTAAATTTTTATTCATCAAGTTGATATTTTTTTTATTTAAGGGTTAATGTTCTCTTAAAGTTGATGTTTTCGGAAAGTAGTTTTGCAAATACTCATGATTTAAGAGGTATATATGCAAATAGATGTTCTTTAAATTGTGTGTCTCAAGCTGCCAATAACGCCTTTGACTTATTAATAACTCATGATTATGTTGAGCCGAATTGTTTCCCATGATATGGAAATAGATTAGGATAAGAAAGACAAAAAGCATCAGATAATTCATAAAAGTTTAAGATACAATAGTTATCATTTCTTTTCCAAAGAGAAGAAATACCATAATCTCGTCTTCAAAATTCGAACCATGAAACTCTATTACTTTTCTTCCAATCAGTAGTCAATTTTTCTAAACATGGATTAGAAATTCAAATTGTTCATCAATCACCCAGCACAATTATTTTTTCGCTGGCTATAACTATAGTTTTTTCGGAAGGCTAAATAGTACTTAAATACATTATAGTTTCACTTGTTTAACACTTAAATATGCTCACTTGTTTTTCATAGCACCGATACTCTTAAGTTTTTTTAAATTGACTTACTAGTACCTTCAATCATGCAAATATGAAAATTTCACCCGAATATTTCTTTATGATACCTACAAGCTAATCACAGAGCTTTTTTAAATATTAATACTTGACGGATTTACTATTAAACCTATCAAAATCATAATTTAAACTTGTCTCCATTCTACTTTAAATTAGAGTTGAGATCAGTTTAATGATAAATTTAATAAATATTTGTGGTTAGAAAGCTCTAATATTAATATCATAGAGGAGCATTCGAACGAAAATATTCATGTTTACATGATAAAGAGTACCAACGTGCTAATTTTAAACAACTTAGTGTATATAGATAAAGAGTACCAACATGTCAACTTTAAACAACTTAGTGTATATAAATACTACAAAAAATGAAGTGATGATGTATAAATGCTAACTTTGTGAAACTATGAGGCATTAAGTGCTATTTAGCCTTTCTGGAAATCTATTTTATGACTAGTCATCTGAGAGATACAGCAGGTGATCTTGTCTACACAAGATGTGGAAGAACAACATACCCTTTCGGATGTACCATACACCAGAAAGTAACAAAATAAATAGAATAC